CTTGACAGATGATTGTTTTGTATAATGTTGATGGCTACTGGACACTGTATGCAAGGCATGCAGCCTGTGAATTGGAACACATTACTTCTGCTGCTAGCAAGGCTAAAAGAGGAATTTCCTGGAATTCTCCAACCTGCCCATGATTGGTGCTTATCTACTGCAATCATTTTCTATTCATGCTGTTACATCACTATTTTAGAACTGATTTTATAACACTTTGCATCTCTCATGCATTTTCTACAAATATGACACTAAATACAGATTATCTCTTACCTTTTATTTATGCTTTGTTCAGCCTCAGCATACATTTAGAACTGTATACAATTCAAGTGTACATTAGAAGCAGAACCAGGCAGAGCCACTCGTACATGCTGTGGCTCGGTCTGGCCTAGGGGTGGGGTGCTGCAGAAATGTGGCGCTGACATCAGCACTGTCTTCCGCCCATCTAGGAGGATAGGGCACTGCTGCAGCTCTGCCTGGTCTGGTTGGGAAGCTGCTGGGGGCTCTAGATTCTCCACTGGCAGGGCATTTGGGGGTTCGGGGGTCCTCTGGGTTCACAAACTGATTCTTTCAGGTTACAAAATTGAATTTCTCTCCTCTCCCTGCCTGTTTTTTTCTGTCTAATCTTCGTCTTTTCCCATCACATTTGAGCAACCTTCAGTTGGCAATTCAGGACCTACTATGCTTGGGGGTGGTGGTCCCAATTCCAGTTCCATTGTCGGAAAGGTTTCAGGGTTTCTACTCGAACCACACGTAGCTTATGTGAATCATCAGGGATGCACAAGGAGTCAGGCTGCTGCCCTGGAGGTGTCTCACATCCTGCATTGGGCGGAAAGTCACGTTCTGGCTATGTCCGCGGTCTACATACCAGGGCGTGGAAAATTGGCAGGTGGACTATCTGTGTTATCAAGGTCTGGATCAAGGGAAATGGGCCCTTCATCCAAAGGTGTTCCAAACTATCTGCCAAAGATGGGGGACTCCAGATGTGGATCTTCTGGCCTTTCCATCTAGACCAAAAGGTAGATAGTTTTGTGTCCAGAACTCTGGATCCTTGGGCGGACATGGTGGATGCTTTTTTGGCACCGTGAGACAATTACAGACTAATTTATGCATTCCCTCCTCTGAAGCTCCTACCAAGGCTGCTGTGGCGGGTGTAAGTCGAGGGGATACAGGTTCTCTTGGTAGCTTTGGATTGGCCTCATCGTCCTTGGTACGTGGATCTGATGCATCTAGTCCAGGGGCGGACTTACAATACGTGGGGCCCCCGGGCAATACGAGATTATGGGGCCCCTTGTGCTCCACACATATATAGGCCCCACCCACATATACATTCTTGTGTTGCAGAAATGATCTCTCCACACTGTTTTCAAAAAAGCAGGTCTATTCACATAAAAGTAAAGTGCGGGGGAATTACGTTCAAAATCTAGAACAATATAGGCGATTTGAAAAGTGAGCTAAATGGCAGAATTTTTCTGTTTTTTTTTTAACCGAGATTCTTTAATTCTGCCAATTATCCTGGGTGAATTGCAGGAAAATTAGTAGGAAAATTGGCAGGGTAACTGAATAATCTAGGAGCGGAGGTTTGGGCACATATTGCATGTGCAGAATGCTTCAGCGCATGCAGTAAAGCCACCAAATGGTCAGTCTGCCAAAGACCAGAACCAATGCAAGGCAGACCGCAGATCAGAACTAATGCAAGGCAGACCATAGCCCAGAAACAATGCATCGCAAAACTCAGACCAGAACCAATGCAGGGCAGACCGTAGACCAGAACCAATGCAAGTCAGACCGCAAACCAGAACCAATGCACAGCTGACCACAGACCACCACCAATGCACAGCTGACCACAGACCACCACCAATGCACAGCTGACCACAGACCACCACCAATGCATGGCAGACCACAGACTAAGCAGTTAGAATGACAAATACACAACATAATTTCCAGGTTCAGCCATCACACACACACATACATACATACGCACTCTGATCCCTGTGGAACGTCACCTGCACACACATTAATGGGCAGCTCCTTCCATGCCAGAACACGGGCAAGCCCTTACCTTCAGCAGGTCTGTAAATGAGTCTGTAATTGTCTCACGGTGCCAGCAGGTGGGTGTAGTAGGTTGCCCCACAGGAGGCCAGGTCCTTGAAGTACCAGAGTGACACTTGTCATGCCACCATTTCTTCTCACCTGGATCTGGGAGCGCTGGACAGTCCAAAAGCCAGGGGGAGCCGGCGCCAATTGGCAAGCAGTTTAAGCAGAGCTGGTGTAAGGATGCAGCCTGAAAGTGCAGGCAGAAAAATTTAGATTTGCCTGTGTAGGCAAAAATGCATGCCCCAGCCCTGTGGAGAATACGTGTCATGCATGGCTCGGTGAATTGTTCACAGCGCTACTTTCACTCGCCCTACATCTTTGAGTACATTTGTTAGTCTGAGGCTAGGTTCGCACCTAAGCGACACCTCACCGGGTGGCAATCGCACAAGATACTGCACGGATTGCTGCGTGGTCAGAAGTTGTCTAGGTGTGAACCGATTGTGCTGTGGGTGCCATTATTTTCCAATGACACCCCAGTCGCGCAGACCAGATTGCGCGGTTTCCTGCTGCGATTCTGATGACCACAGACCACCACCAATGCACAGCTGACCACAGACCACCACCAATGCATGGCAGACCACAGACTAAGCAGTTAGAATGACAAATACACAACATAATTTCCAGGTTCAGCCATCACACACACACATACATACATACGCACTCTGATCCCTGTGGAACGTCACCTGCACACACATTAATGGGCAGCTCCTTCCATGCCAGAACACGGGCAAGCCCTTACCTTCAGCAGGTCTGTAAATGAGTCTGTAATTGTCTCACGGTGCCAGCAGGTGGGTGTAGTAGGTTGCCCCACAGGAGGCCAGGTCCTTGAAGTACCAGAGTGACACCCGTCATGCCACCATCTCTTCTCACCTGGATCTGGGAGCGCTGGACAGTCCAAAAGCCAGGGGGAGCCGGCGCCAATTGGCAAGCAGTTTAAGCAGAGCTGGTGTAAGGATGCAGCCTGAAAGTGCAGGCAGAAAAATTTAGATTTGCCTGTGTAGGCAAAAATGCATGCACCAGCCCAGTGGAGAATACGTGTCATGCATGGCTCGGTGAATTGTTCACAGCGCTACTTTCACTCGCCCTACATCTTTGAGTACATTTGTTAGTCTGAGGCTAGGTTCGCACCTAAGCGACACCTCACCGGGTGGCAATCGCACAAGATACTGCACGGATTGCTGCGTGGTCAGAAGTTGTCTAGGTGTGAACCGATTGTGCTGTGGGTGCCATTATTTTCCAATGACACCCCAGTCGCGCAGACCAGATTGCGCGGTTTCCTGCTGCGATTCTGCCCATGCTTCCGAAAACGATCATGAAACTAAAACAGCCGTGCATCATGAAAAAAAAAGGTACATGTACCTTTTTTCTGCAATTGCTGCGCAGATGTCACCCCTTTGAAATTAAAAGCAATTCGCTGCCTGCATTGTACAGGACTGCGCAATCCTAGGGCACGCGTCCCGGGTGTCGTGCAGGTGGGAACCTAGCCTCAAGCTGTCACTGTCCCTCGATGTATATATGTAGTGTTGTGATGTGTCACCTGCACTCCTTACAGCGATTAGACCTGGATACATGATTGTGGTGCTGGTAGTGATTGCACGGATGGCACCGTGTATTCCAAAATCGTAGAAGATGGAGATCACCAGTACTCATTTGTCATATGACATGCATTAAGACACGCATGATGCTTTCCACCCTATAGGCATTTTACATACTACACATAGCGTGGTTGTATGCAAAGCAAGGCGATATGACAGGTAGTCTGCTTTTCTTGCTTGCATGCTAACAGATGATATGATGTATTGTACTTAATTTGTTATATTTTATCATGAAATGACATTTGTGATCTTTTTATTCGCCATTTGTATACAGTCATCTACCTTGCTCTGCCTTTATATATTGTGGTTTTGCCCTACTGTTCTTTGCTGTTTGTTCATCTCTCCTTGACATTCAAAGCCCTTTCCCCTCTCTCCCCTTCTCTCCTTTTAGTTCTTCTCCTGCTGCTCGGCTTATCTAAGTTTGTTTATTGTTCCTCGTACAAGGAGCCCCCCCTCCCCCCCCTCTCCTTACACAGAACACAGAGCCAACTGTCTCCTAGTAAAAAAATGAGTGCTGGTGATCTCCATCTTTCCCCCATGTAAACACACACCTTCCATCCCTGCACCGATCTGATACAATACACCATTCCAGCCTTGTGTGTGCAGGACAGATCGAAGGACCTAATCATGCAGCCCGCCAGACAATCCAGGAGCTGAACCGAGGGAGCAGCAGCCAATCGAAGAGCAGCTAAAGGCAGGCCCTGCCCAGCTGCCACTGTCATACTATCAGGCAGTGCTGTGTTAAAGTGGTGGCGGCAGGGTCTGGTGGGCCCACGAATGAAATATGCTGATTGCAGGTTGGAAAACGGCGAAAAGGAACACGGGTCGGTGACGGGCCCCTTCGTGGCCGCGGGCCCTTGGGCAGTGCCCGACGGACCGAATGGTCAGTCCGCCTCTGATCTAGTCACGAATGTTCCATGGCGACTTCCCCTTTGGCCAGACTTGATGTCGCAGGGCCCTGTTTACCATCCTTCTTTACCGTCGCTGGCTTTAACGGTGTGGCTAAAGCCAGGTGTTGAAGGATAGGGGATTATCCGATTCTACCGAAGCCAGGTTTTGAATGATAAGGGACTGTCCAAAGTCTACATCATGAAAGATTTACCATCGTACTTGGAAAACCTATATTTCGCGGTGCGAGTCTCTTCAGGTGTCTTGACATGCTTTTTTGGTTGCTAGAGTACTGGGCTTTCTTGAAAGGACTGTGGATCAGCGTTTGGCACTTATAACTGTCAAAGGTCAGGTTATGGCTTTGGCGATTTTGTTTTTTCAACGCCCCTTGGCCTAGTTATCCTTGATTTGTACCTTTTACCCAGAGGGTCTCGTGTTTCCCCTCCGGTTCGTGCTCCCTTGCCCTCATGGTATATAAACCTTGTGTACCCTGCCTTGCAGAAACCTCCCTTTGAGAATATTAGGGAAGTGCCTTTTGTTGACCTTGTCACATAAGTTTTTTTTTTTGTTGCTATCACTTCAGCTTGGAGGGTCTCAAAATTGGCTGCCTTGTCCTGTAAACCTCAGTTTTTTGGTCTTACATAAGGACAAAGTGGTTCTTCGTCCACAGCCTTCCTTTTTGCCTAAGGTATTTTCTACCTTTCATATCAATGAGGACATCATCCTCCCTTCTCTTTGTCCGATGCACCCTAAAGAGATAGCTTTTCACTGTTTGGATGTCATTAGGGCTGTGCGAGTCTACCTTTCTGCTATGGAATCCTTTCGTAAGACATGTTCCCATTTTGTTGTTACTGAGGGTTCCAGGAAAGGTGAGACGGCCTCTGTGGCCACCATTTATCGTTGGATTAGGCAGCTTTTTCAGGCCATGCCCTTAAGGGTCAGTCTACCAGGTCAGTAAGTACTCCCTAGGCTTTTCGGCATCAGGCTTCTGTTGTACAAGTTTGTAAGGCGGCCACGTGGTTGTCGGTACACACCTTCACTCGGTTCTATAAAGTTGATGTGGTTACTTCTGTGGATGCTGGTTTCGGCCGCAAAGTTCTACAAGCGGCTGTTTAGTGTGTGGGTTTTTCCTTTTTTTCTGTTTGGTTGTCAACCCCACATTTTCACTATTTTGGGACGTCCGTTCCATTAAAGGAAGAAATGGCTGTGTCCTTCAATGAACAAAAGAGAAAATAGGATTTTTGTACACACCGTAAAATCCTTTTCTCTGAGTTCATTGAAGGACATGGTCCCTCCCCTCTGGAAGTTGTCATTCTGGTCTCTACTGCTTTGGGATTAACTGAGCTGCCTATAGCTAGTGGGGGGTGAACCACCAGAAGGGGCCACCCCCAAGGCTGTGCTTCTTGTTTTGTCCCTAGCATCCTTCTCCTGCAGGTGGCGATATAACCCTTTCATTAAATGAAGAAATTGCTTCTTCAATAAATGCAGAGAAAAGGATTTGATGTTGAGTACAAAAATCCTATTTTTCAGGTAATTTCATCTTCTAATTCTAGTCACTATACAGTCCAGCACCGGAGAAGCGTGGAAGGGTTACAACTTCTTTCTGTCCAAGCTAAAAGGATTTCCTTTCACTTCCAGTTCGATCTAAAACCTATGACCTGGACAGGAAGTGAGGGGAATTTTATCTAATGGGGAGACTGACAGACATATGTTTTTACAATTCCCCACTCTTTCAAAATGGCCCCTTTCGGTGGTATTTCCACTAGCTGTTCTATCTGATATCTCTCAAATACAAGTAATGAAAAGTTTTCCAGGCGTTGACACTCATAGTAATAAAAAGTTGACACTCTATTCAATCTAAAATAAAAGTGTTGGATTTCATGCGGCTGAAAGGCAATTATTTGTAGCACTTGAACACATGTACCTTGGTTTAATACTGTACTTGATCTCTTATGATGTGGGCCAGGATTAAAAAACCTTTGTTCTTTTTTGTTTTTTTACTAACAGTTGGACTATTTACACTGATCGGTTTTATTCAGATGACAATTTGGGCAAAGGAGAAACATCACAGATATATCAGGGAGTTCAAGGATTATCCAAGACTACGGATGTCAATCATCCCCTTTCTGCTGTGAAGATGAATTTGCAAAAAAGGATATTTATATTATTTTACTATGATTCAGAGCTATATCTGAAATACCTAGAAATCTATTCATAGCAAAGCGTCACATTTTTAAGAACTATTTTGTACAGTCTTTTCTGCATATTTAAACAAAAGGAGAATTTCACTTTTATGTAAACGTGGAACCCTCCTTCCCACTTGTCAAATGTAGTAACACCTCTCTACAGTGAGTCCTGCAGAATACAGGTTGGCTATTGCTTATGTTGCCTCCATAGACTGTCTATCAGATGGGAAGCCTTTTACCTCCCACTGTGCAGATTTTATTATTGGTATCCTATAGTTTATTTTAAATCAATATGAATGTATTATTTAATGGTTGTTTATATCACTGATTTGACTAAAGAAGATCACAAAAACTATGTATTAAGTTCAGCTTAAAAAGCTCATCTTGGATACGTCTTTGTCTGTGTCCCACTATTTGGCTCTATGCTGCTTCCTGATGAGTTTAGTTGGTGTTGCATATAGCCATTGAGGCTGTATAGACTGCATAAGTTGCTATACTGTAACTGCTTGGTACAAATTATCATCACAAGGCTTAGTGGTGCCCATTGGAGTTCTATGTATTAGGGTGAGGTTGGAGGGAGCTGCAAACTAGGAGGTTACAGAGGAACATAGTACACGTCTGGTCTTGCAGTTACCATGACCATGAGTGGAGGGATTATGGTGAGTTAGTTTTGTTTTCACACTCATTGCTTTGAAAGGACATCTACACACTAAAGGCAAATAGACTGTTCACTTTACAAAGACATTTTACATTAGCTTAGTGACTGTGGTAAAAAATCACTTGCCCAAGAACACATAATTATGTGCAAAGAAAATGTTAAAAAAAACAGCATTTTTGCTTGCACATGATTGGATGATGGAAGTTAGCAGAGCTTCACCTCATTCTCTAAGCTAAGGGAAAGTTCCCTTGCAAAGTAGACAGCCTATACTCCTTTAGTAAATCAACTTCTATTTTTATAACATGAACCACAGATAGAGCAGGGAAGGGTTACAACCGCTTATTGTCCATACTAAAATGATTTCCTTTCACTTCCTGTCCTAATACTCATTATCTGGACAGAAAGTGAGTGGAATTTTACCTAATGGGGAGACTGCCTATACTACTTTAGTAAATCGACTCTTATTTATTTAAAGTGGACCTTTGCATTCTTAAAGCATGCAAACACAAACACACTCCTTCATTTTCCAGTACATGTAAGCAGTCCAAGCAGCACTGTCTGATATCCACATTTTTGCGTATCAGAAGTTAGTAACTACTAGCACCCCCTCCCCCCCTGTCCCCTGACATATGCAGTGTCACATGATGGTCACAAGATAGGCTAAGAGGTCTTTGTAACTGACAGCATGGCTTTACTTTTTCGTGCTGTGTAGATGGTTTGTTGATATATGTTACATATTTGGCAGCGGTTTTAGTAAACATTGTCAGAGGAAAGGGTTTCTTCAAAGTTTTTGTGTCAAAGCATTAGGCTTCATTTACAGGGACATGCACAGCCATAGAGAATGTACATCCATGCAGAAACCTGCATCTGGAAGTAATAGCTGGTGCGTGCAGCCGCCTGTACAACTCAATGCCTGTACACTGCTACAAGCCGACCTGAACTTGCACGTCTGTACAGATCCATGCCCCTGGATGCAGAAGTTGCTTTATTTACGGGTATTTTCCCAAGAAAAATAATAATAAGGTTGAACTGTATTGTTCGGTTTAGTTTGAGAAATCATTATTAGAAAAAAAGTGATTGACTATGGCTTCACTTTGGTAGACACAAATGATAAGCATCAAATAAAAAAAATGAAAATAGATTTGTTTTTCTAAGGCTCATGCATAATGTACACCAGTGTTACTTATAGGAGAGCAGAGAGCAGTCATTTTGTACAAGATAACTCTGAAAATATATAGATTCAAGAGGTCACACGGCTCATGTGTTGAATCAAGTGTAAAGAACAGTAATTCACACACCAGAATGCTGAGCACAGTAGCACACAGACCCAGAAAATAGTTGCAAAAAGCTTTTTTTTACAGGATATTGCTTTATGAATCATTTAAAACATACGGCCTGTTCTCTTTTTTAATATTACTATATAGTTGTAGCTATAAACAAGATCCATGCCAATGGTTTAGCCATTGTTGAAGTACAGTAAAGAGAGTAACCTATTGATGTGCCCCTGCTCCTTCACTGTCCATTCAGAAGGCTGGAGTTGTGCTCTTGACTAAGCTGTGCTATTGATGACAAGAATTAGAACTCTTTTGGCAGCTAAAATACTTTCCATAAATGAATTGCAACTATGTATTTAGCTGCATACCTGGTGTTCATCCTACCCATACATCTAAACAACGTGCATTACAAACACATTATGAATCAACAGTTTTGGGGTTTTTTAACCTGCAAAGGTAAAGCTATAAGATGAAATAACAACATAGCTAACAAAATAAAGTAAGACAAATATTTGGGTGCTGTGTATTTTCTACAGCTTTTGAAAAAGCCATAATAGCAAATAGTACTGTTCTACTGTCCATGACACAATAAACATGTTTTCAAAAATCTACGTGTCTAACTGTTTTTTTATGTTTTCATTATGCAGAGATTTCAATGTGTTATCAACTTTGAAATGATCCTTCATGGATTCCTGCATCGGGGCCCTGAGGTCACTAGTTACGCCTCTGCCTATTACTGTTTCATGCAACCTCCCTAACATGTTTTGAACCTTATGTAGGCCCACACATTTATCTTTCAGTAGAGTTCCCTCTAAACTTAGATCGTACAATCAGAGTGTACCGTGTGGCCAGCAAGTTTTGCCAGCAAGGTAAATTCTGAGAATATAACTCCTGATTATTATGAAGGTAGGTAAAAAGCACCTGAAATGTGAACGTTAAAAAGGCCGACAGAGCAAAGGACTAGTCCCAGTATTGCCTGAAAGCTCCCTGCAGCTGAGCTTTTCCCCAATACGGACTTACTATGCCTTGCTCTGAACTGTGTCCCTGTGTCGAAGTGATCAAAGCAGGACTTTGTTTCCTTATGTCAGAGCTGTACCTCTACAGACAGGGGATCTGATGGCTGGTGGGGGAATATTCAAGAAGCAGCAGGAGAAAGCACAGATCTGCAGAATGGATTAAGCAGAAGCATAGAGATCTTTGCACTGCAGGTCCTCAGATATATCTTCCTCTCCAGCAAGAAGAAGCACAGTAGTGACATCACAAAATCTCCTTCCAAATCTCCCAGTTAGAGGCAGCAGCACCTTAGACGATCTCACCCTACAAATATAAGGCTCAAGGAGTCGGAATTCTTGCCAAAAGCTAAATGTTTTAGGGAATGGCATGGGCACAATTAATATTATCAATTATTTTCACTTTCGGAGTTCAGGTCCACCCTAAACTATGAACCTTGGGGCTCTTTTGTCTTCATGTACATAAAAGAAACAATGACTAGGATGGGGGAAAGGTGGGTCCAACTAGTGGGTATCCCCTTTAAGGATTGGCCAAGATCTGAAATTCACTAGTAGATGATGCTGCGGGTAGAATATGAGGTTTTTTGATATAATAATAATAACAGTAATAATAATAATTTATTAAGTGCATGTAGACATAAGATTGATCAAACAGCTGTATTTGCTGTATAACGTGTTTAGAAATAATGGAACAGAAGGGAACATACTGACACTGATTAATGATTAGCGTCTCAAATCATTGTTCCACGTCCAACCAGTCAGTGACACTAGCTGTGTGCCAACCTCTAAACATCTTTCTTATAGCCTTAAATGGGCTTTAAGTACTGGGAAGAAATGTCATAAACATATGATGTTCAACTATTTCTCCCTTGCTCTACTTTATCAGAAAAAAATGCCTCACCAAGCAATATTTGCACACATTGTCTGTATAACATAATCCTGATGCAAGTTTAAAAGGGCAGCCTTTTATATGAATGAAAACATGTAATGGTAACGGGATCCCTGGAGACTCGGGTTGTAACACTCTTGCACCCAATTCCAGGTTGTGGTCAGGGCCGGATTCCCCACAAGGACACTGAGGCCCGGCGCAGAGGGGCAGTGTCCTTGTGAGGAAGTTGCGGGCGCCGGGTGGTAAGTTGCCCTCTCTACATTTAGTCCTGCTTTGCACAAGCAAGACTAAATGTAGAGTGAGGGAAGCCGATTGTTCGTTTACAAGTGATCTTGGCGATGTTGCCGAGATCACATGTAAAAAGTCTGCATGCAGCCGGTCCTCCTCCCCCCCTCCCCCCTGCATTTACCTCTCTCCTCGCTGGCTCCGCCCTCTGGGATTCGCCGCCAAGTCTGTCTCCTCACTGGCCACCGATGCAGTGAGCAGAGAGGCAGGGTTAAAACTAACCCTGCCGCTCCGTGTACACAGTGAGAGGGGAGAGCTGTGCTCTTCCTCCCTCACCTGTCACAGGAGTTCCAGTACAGTGCTGCGCTAGAACTCCTGTATTGGAGGTGACAGGTTTAATAAAGAAAACCTGCCACCTCCAATTGCTATCACACAGGGGATTGTTACAATAAAGTTAGGTGAAATTTTTTTTACATTGATTAAAAAATGTTTTAAAATAAAGAATAAAAAAATAATAATATGAAATAATTAAATAAAAAGGTGATTAAAAAGTAAAAAAATAAGAAAAAAATTATATAAAAAATAAGAA